CCGAAGGGCAAATGGGAACACTACATTTCTAAGCAGCCCTCCGCTCACAACCTGCCTCATATCCAGCCCAGAGCCACCATTTATTAATCATCTGCTTCATACCAGGCACTGTCCTAGCCCTGTTTTTTTAGAGCAGTCTTAGTCTTGAGAAGAAGGGAGTGGAACATACAAGAATCCCCATATACTCCCTCCCTCCCACCTACATTCAGATTCCCCTGTTATTAACACCTTGCATCAATGTGATACATTTGTTACAATTGATGAAGCAGTATTGATCCATTATTATTAGCTAACCCCCACAGTTTACATTACAGGCTATTCTAATGTGTTATGTAGTTCAATGGGATTTTGAAAATGTAGAGTGACAGGTATTCACCATCACAGTATCATACAGAAATGGTTTCACTGCCCTAAAATTTTGCTGTGCTCCACCTGTCCATCCCCCCATCTATCCCTGACAACCACTGATCTTTTTACTGTGTCCATACCAGAATGTCCTAGAGTCAGATTCACACAGTCTGGAGCCTTTTCAGACTGGCTTGTTTCACTTAGCAGTACGCATTTAAGTTTCCTCTGTGTCTTCTCATGACTTGATAATCTATCTCTAAATATCACTGAATGATATTCCACTCTATGGATATACTGCATTTGTTTACCCACTTATAAATTGAACAACATCTTGGTTGTTTTCTAAGTTTTGGCAGTTGTGAGTAAAGCTGCTATAAACATTTGAGTGCAGGTTTTTGTGTGGACATAAGTTTTCAACTCATTTGGGTGAATACCAGAGACAGCAATTGCCGGGATCTCATATGATGAGAAATATTTTTAGTTTTGAAAGAAACTGCCAAATTGTCTCCCAAAGTGGCTGTCCCGTTTTGCATTCACACCAGCAACAATCAAGAGTTCCTGGTGCTCCATGTCCTCACCAGCGTTTGATGTTATCCGCGTTCTGGATTTGGGCCATTGTAGTAGGTATGTAGAGGTATCTCGTGATGGTTTTAATTTGAAATTCCCTAATGACATCTGATGTTGAACACTTTTTGATATACTTATTTGCCATCTGTGTATCTTTTTTGCTGAGGTGTCTGTTCAGATCTCTTGCCCAATTTTTGATTACGTTGTTTTCTTATTGTTGAATTTGAGAGTTCTTTGTATATTGTGGATACAAATCCTTTAATCTGCTATGTCTTTTGCAAATATTTTCTCCCAGTCCGTGGCTTGTCTTTTCATTCTCTTCATGTCCTCACACTTTTCATGCCTGCATTTTCTTATTTAATCCCCCCAACACTCCATGAGCTATAGAATATTGATTCCACTCTGCTAAGGAACCCAAGTTAAGAGAGATCAATTGACTTCCTAAGTGGTAGGGCTAAGATGTGAACCCAGATCTGACCCTCAGCTCCATACTTCACATCATTAGTGTATCCCACTTGCCACAGGTTGGTACATGTGGGAATGAACTTTTGTCATTTCATAATAAAATAGCCTTTCACAGCCTCAGAAAATAGAGTTATCCTGTATTTGGATGCCCTGCAGAGCCCAGCACGGGTACTTGCATCTGAGTACCTTTATAAGGCATAGAGAGCCCTCTGTAACCTAACCCCTGCCTACCTCCTCTCTCTCTCCTCCTGTTGCTAATCCCCTCACACTGTGTCCACAAGAAAGGAAATGGGTTTCAGCCTCCCTGGGTGCTTGCTTTTTCAAGAATACTGCCTTTACTCTTCCTATTCCCTCTGATGGAAAAGACCCTTTCTCATTGGGCACTGGTCAAGGCTCGACCACTTTATTTTTTTAGTTTGAGAGAGTGTGTGCATGCAAGAGCAGGGGAGGGGCAGAGAGGGAGAGAGAATCCCAAGCAGACTCTGTACTGTCAGCATGGAGCCAGATGTTCTAGTTGGATAACCGCGAGATCATGACCTGAGCCGAAATTAAGACTCAGACACTCAGCCAGCGGAGCCGCCCAGGTGCCCCAAGCCTTACCCACTTGTAATTCACATTCTACTTCACAAAGCCCTCCTCTCCCCACTTTCTAGATTTGGAAGCTCTACTTCTGTGTACAGCCTGCTTCCCAAATAGCACTGACAGATTTCTTAAGCATGTGTATCAATTTGACAACACTCCTTAGGCCAGCCAGCCTGCACATAGTAGGTTCTTTGTGAGTGAATGCAGAGAAGATATTAACCAACACCATCATCAGTGGGTAGAGGCCCCTTTCATCTTTAAGAATATTTAACTTAAATAAGCTTGTTTCTTTTTGGGTTTTTTTAAATCATTTTTGCTTTCAGATTTTAAGTTTCATTTTAGGTTAAGAAAATTCTCTCTCAACATTTTAAACCAGAATCTCTGTTTCCAGGGCTGTAGACCCCAGGGGCAGTCATAACTCAATAAAGGAGATGTTTGAATCAATAAGTCATTAGTGAGACCAATGAGTGAAAATACAATGTGTGTTTTTACAGCTTACATTTTCTTTTAAGTTTGTTTGTTTGTTTAAAGAGAACCAGCAGGGGAGGGGCAGAGAGGCAGGGTAGGGGGGACAGATGAGCCAAAGCAGGATCTGTGCTGACAGCAGAGAGCCCCATGTGAGACTAGAACTCACAAACTAGGAGATCATGACCTGAGCTGAAGTCAGAGGCTTAACTGACTGAGCCATGCAGGCGCCCCAAGGCTTGCAGTTTCTGTAACTGCTGGTAACAGGGCTTACCAGCCTCAGCTGGGAGTCAGGTGCTGGGCTTTGCCTGAATCCTTGCTGGAGCGGGGCAGGATGGAGGGGGGGAGCTCCCGGGGGGGGGCTCCCTCAGGAAGTCCCACTCCTGGGGCTAGAATCCTGCAAGAGCTGGGACCAGCCATTTGCACAGACTCCAGGAGCAGACATCCAGGGACAGTACCTTGTGTGGGTGGAGCTGGGGCTCAGGGCGGGAGGGACCAGAGCTAGAATCTCCGCTCCGCCACTTACGGGCTGTGTAATGCTGGCACCTTGCTTAACCTCTTTGAGCCCCTGTTTCTTCATCTGTGAAGTGGAAATTAAAAAAATACCATATCATTATGGCCTTACTGTAGTAATCTACAGAGCTATGTGGAGGAGTAAAGGACATAGTCTGATACCTGCCATGAACTGCATAAAGGTGAACTTCACACTCCCCACTTCACACCCCACTCCCCACGGCTAAGGCTGAGTTAGCCCTCTCCCCTGCTGTTTCCACTGAAACTCTTGCCCACAATGAGTAAGAAAAGTGGCATCTGGTATATCTCTGTGTCTGTCAGAGTGCCTGGCACATGGCACAGGCTCAATGAATAATTCACCTATTCACCCTCTGCAGGTTGCATTTTTCAGTCTCTTGCCGGCCAGCCTCCAGCTGGGTTTGACCAAGGCCATGCACTAGTGAGAGACTGGAAGGCAGGGGAAGGAAGAAGCCGGGGTACTACTTCCCCTCTGTCCCAATCGCAGACATCTCCTGTAGCAGCGAGTGAGGCTCCTCTTTTTCACCAGCCTCCCTGGGGGGGCCCACAGGCTCCAGCTTCCAAGGCTGGTGCGTAGCCCCCGGCTCTGATAACCTCGCCTCCTCGCTCTGCCCCGCCGTCCCCAGGAGGGCAGCGTCTTCTTGCTGGTGCTGATCTCTGAGTTACTACAGCCCCTGTGTGGTTTCTCGGCTCTTCCTGACACTTCTCTGGCGTTCTGTCTCCATGTGCACTTGAAGCACTTTCTGATACCTGCTTAGACCTCCTCTTTGGAAGCAGGAGTGTCTGAGCTCAGAATTAAGAGAACCCCACTCTCAGGTTCCACCATCCATGGGCCAAGTGGCTTGTCCGTCGTCGCGAGACTCGGTTCCCTCATTTGTAGCGAGGGCTACACTGCTCGTCTCACCGGCCCATGAAGTGATCCATTCACATGCTCACCAAGGGTTTGCGGAGCTCCCGCCGTATGTGAACGTGCAGAGGAAGGAAGAGGGAACAGAGCAGCAGTGTCCCTGTTCTCACGGGCTTCCAGTTAGTAGCAGATGTGCTTGTGAAGTGCGAAGTGCTTCATGAGTCTCAGCAGGACAAGCTGGCCCCATTGTCTGACCCCGGGGACCCATGTAGAGGTGCAGAGCACTCCACCCCACTCGCTGCGAACCTAGCCCTGGCCTAGACTGGACCGTGGATGCAGTGACATGAGCGATGGGTTCACAGTGAACTGGACAGCAAGCTAAGCCCCTCCTCCAACCAGACCCAGCCAGGGTGTTCCGTTTTGTGTGTCTCTTAGCGTGCCAGAGTGCACTTTAATTCATTGTAAAGGATTAGCCTGATTCTTCCATACAAGGGGGTTTTAATAGTTTTTATTGGATGTTATTTGAAGCAAGCATGCCATTGACTAAACCCTGCAAATCTTGTTTATGCCTGGATTGGCCTTGAAAGCGTATTCTCTATAACACGATTTGCAGTTATTGATGACCTCCTTTATAATGATGTAGCCATCTCCACTTGAATCATTGTATTGGTAACAGTTGTGGCCAACCATCTACTTGCACCAATACCCCAAGAAGCAAAAGAACAGCGTTTGTGCGCATGTGGAAAATAGGTAAATTTGCCGTTTTTCAGCAAGCATGGAAGTGGAACGTGTGAGTCTGGATCCAACACTTCTCACTTCCCAAGTATTTTGATCTCTTGCGCACTCTCCTATGAAGAAGGGATTTCTGCCTCCATGTTAATGATGAAATCACTAAGACTTAAAGAGGCAGGTGACTCACCCAGACAGGTAATGACAGAACCAGAATGACAGGTGGAAAAAAAGAGAAGGCGCACACTGTGCTTTTCAAGGCACAGTGATCTCCCTGAGCCTCAACTGCCTCATCTGTAAATGGGTCTAATAACTGCAGGTGGGGGCAGGGCTCAAACGAGAGAGTAAGAAAGCAGCATGATGCCCCTACTGCTAAAACATGGCAGCTCTGCAGGAGGGCAGTGCTGGCCCCTCGCCAGCAGGCCCTTTACCACCCACCCCCTTGTTTTCTGCTCTCTCTCTGCAGATGACCATTCCCGAGTGAGGCTGCTGGTGCTGGATGGAGACCCGCATTCTGACTACATCAACGCCAACTACATTGATGTGAGAGTCTTCATGGGGCTGGGCGGCTGGGCTCTGGGGCTGGTTACAGTAGGCTCAAGACCGAGGGCCATCCCCCCGACGCTCCCCCACAAGGTGGCCCTCCCAGAACGTGTCCGGATGTAATTAGCATAACCCAAGTTGATGACCCGTCTTAAACCTTATCCTCTTTCAGCCCAGCTGGAGTAGCCTACTGTGTGGGGCCCCAGGACAGCTACCCGTCTTGTTCATTCACTCATTAATTCATTTGTACATGTATCTGTCCATTCATTCATTCATTTGAAGGTAAAGCCATTTATGCACCACAAATTTAAAAGCGCCTGCTGTGTGCCAGATGCTCTGGGAACCATAAAGCTAAAAGTGTCATGGTCTGTACCCTTTAAAACCTGAGCGGGAAGATAAGCTATGCACATCAATAATTCCAGGGCGAACGGAAAGTGGTAAGTGTCATTTGTTCAGATAAAATGCTGCAGGGATTCAGAGGTTGGGGGGGATATCGCTTCTTCCATCAGGAATGCAAAATGTGATGTGAACCAAAGTTTCAAGCACAGGAAGAATTTAAAATGAAAGAGGGAAACCGGGTCTCTGGTTAGAAAAGCACAAGCCAAAATGTAGCAGCTGGAAGCAGAGAGTATATAGCAGCTCAGGTTGAAGGGAGCTGAGGCTGCATCACGGGAATAGTGGAAATTATTCTGTCTAGCTGGAGCTAGATCGTTGGTGGTTTACAATCAGACTTAGAAAGCCAGACTTGGTTGTGTAGACGAGAGAGGGCTATTGGAAGTTCTTGATCACAGAGCTGACCAGTTCAGAGCTGAGCTTAGGGATGGTTTCTCTATCACCAACGGTAAGACAGTCTGAGGGAGGAGAGTCTGGGTTTCAGATGCCCAGTTAGGAAAGGGGCTGCTTCACCTTGGAAGTGAGAGAGTTTGCAAAGGGGGGAGCGTGGCCCCAAGGCCCAGATGGACATCCTGTCATAACCAGTGCAAGCCAGGCTGCTCAGGACCTCCGCTAGGAGCCCGAGAGCCTTGACGAGTGGCTCAGAGCTCCTCCTTGGTCCCTCTGATGCCCACATGCTTTTACACACAAGCTGTGAAGTGCAGCGGTATGCTTTTCAACTCCCCATAACCTAGGCTCATCCAGGTGATTGACTAATTCAACAAATATTTATTGAGCCTTATGGTAGTCATTTGTCTGTTTGCTCTCAGATAGATTTCTTGTCCTTCCCCGTTCTGCTTTGCGTTGCTTGTATGAGTGTGTGTGTGAGTGTATGTGTGTGAGTGTATGTATGTGAGAGTGTGTGTGTATATGTGAAAGTGTTGAGAGTGTGTGTGAGTGTGTGTATGTATGTGATAGTGTGTGAGTTTGGTGTGCATGTGTGTGTGAGTATGTAGGTATGTGAGAATGCGTGTATGTGACAGTCATGTGCATACGTGTATGTGGGAATGTTTGTGAGTTGTATATATGTGAGTGTGTACATGAGTGTATATGTATGTGAGTGTGAGAGTGTGTACATGAGTGTGTATTGTGAGTGTCTGTATGAGTGTGTATCTTTGTGTGTATGTGAGACTGGTATCTTTGTGTGTATGTGAGACTGTGTGCCTGTGTGTCAGAGTGTGTGTATGTGAGAGTGTATATATTAGAGTTTGTGAGTGTATATGTGAGGGTGCATGTATGTGCACATGTGTGTGAGTATGTATGTGAGAGTGTGCATATGTGACTGTGTATATATATGAGTGTGTGTGAGTGTGTGTGCATGTATATGAGTGTGTGCATATATGTGAATGTGTGTGAGAGTGTGTGTGATTGTGAGTATGAGACTGTATGTGAGAGTGAATATGTATGTGAGAGTGTGAGTGTGTATGGGTGTGTGTGTGAGAGAGTGTGTGTGTGTATATGAGTGTGTGAGTATGAATATGAGACTGTGTATGTGAGAGTGAATGTGCATGTGAGTGTGTATGAGATTGTGTGTGTGTGAGAGAGAGAGAGAGTGTGTGTGTGCGCGCACGCGTACGGCAGGAGGGAAAGCAAACTGATGCCTATGAGGAAGGCACTGATAGGAGATTGGAAAGAGAAAGGAAGGGAGAAGCTGGTGTCTTCTCCTCCTCTCTCACCTCCCTGCAGTGGGGGCCACATCCCAGCTGTGGTGCCAGCTTCCACCAGGCAGACCCACTGGAGTTCCCGCCTCTGCCGGGCAGCCCCCACTCTGGGTCCAGCCACTTCAGTGTCTCCCATCACCCACGAGTTCCAGGGGCCGTCACAGTCTCCCGCTAGTGCCAACCTCAGGGTTGCACATCCCAGCTTCTCTATACCCGATAGGTCCCCAGCTGCCCAGGCAGAAGTCCCTGTGTCTGAAACACTCACAATGGATCCTATTCCCTGCCTGGACCCTGGCTTACAAAGGCCCTACACGTGGTCAAGAATGGGGGCTTCAGTTTCAGTGGAAGTCAAGGCAAGTTCTTGTGGCAACCCTGATGGCCATGGCCCATGTGAGGTCTGCTGGCCCAAGTTGCTGTATCTGGCATTTGTCATCTAAGTGGCAGCCTCCAGCAAAAGTTTACTTCTCCTAGATAGACACTTAGTTCAAAGTGGCATGAGCATCTTGCCACAGTCAGAGCCAAGATCCACTTCGGTGTGTTACGGGCAGCAAATGAAATTGCTGACGTTGCAGGTGGACCTCTGCAACATCAACACTGACGACACCCCCCATGCCTACCAGCTTCCATCATTAAAGTGCATTCTGCAAGCCTTTGAGGATTGCCAGGGACTGAGCTTCAGATCCTTGCTCAAGGTTGCATGGCTAGAATCCAGTTCCTGGCACATGAGGACTCCCTACCACCCCTTCCTTCTCTAGGAAATACTACATTGTACATATAAGCCAAACAGCCTCTGCTAGATGCTGTCTTAATATATGACATTGGCCTCTGCTGGATCTCACTGGTTAGAGTCAAAGGTTCACAAGATCAATGTCATGAATTCAGCCCTTGTTGGGTTTATTCAGTCCTTCTGCTTACAAGCCTTATGATCTTGGGTGAATTATTTACTTGTTCTCATCTCCGTAAAGTGGGATAGTAATGCTACCCCAGCAGGATGTGGTAACTGATGTACTTCTCAGTCTCCCATTAGGAAACAGAGGCTCACTCAAAGGAAATAACTGAGAATAGTTCAACAAGGGTGGGGGCAGAATTAAAGGAAACCAACAGGGCGGGGCGCAGTATCCCCTGGTTAGGATTAGTAGCCTCTGACAGAGAGTTGGTGGTGGACCCAGAAGAACATACACCCCAACCTCCCCATGGTCTCTGAGCCCCTGCTTCTGCTCCCCAATGGCTGAACCCAGCTGGAAGCTGGAGAACATGGAAGCCCATGATGTGGTCCTTATGGGTCAACATCCCACGGAAGGGAAAAGTGGGGATGTGGAGGGACAGAGAAGACACCAAGCACAAGCCCCTCCTAGCTCACTGTCACTGATACGCGGTGGAGCAAGGGGTGGGGAAGCCCATTAATTGTGAAGCTACTATGTACTCCAGCAAACTTAAACTGCCTTAGTCTCTTTGGAGATTCCCGGCAAGACACACCCTGGACAGCTCTCTAGTTTTCAACCTTTTGCCCTGGTCTCCAGCCCGGCCAAAATCATCCTGGCTCTCAGAAGAGCTAACTGCCTGTGCTAGAATCATTTATCCACAATCGGATCTTGACGATCCATTAAAACAACTCCATTTGGATAATGAGCTGGATGGGGCAGCCTCCAGAGGCCATGGGTCTGCTGCTGTCTGAACCGTCCCACTGGCGGCTTTGTTTGCACACCCGAGAATGTATTGGCCACTTGAATCTGTTATAAATTACCAGTCTGGAAATAAATATCGTATCTGGGTCCCCAGTAAGTAACAGATGCATGAGTCCAGAGTGAGATAAATGTGTTTTGGATGCAAGCCTCTTTCCCGTTGCTCACAGACGGATGGAGGCAGCCGGGGCTGGTTTGCAGTGGATCTGTGTGCTGTGTAGGTGGGACTTTGATGAACTCAAAGTTCTTTTAAGGTTAGGAAGTTTTCTGTACTGGTTCCGGCAAATCCCCAGTAAAGCCCCCAGTTAAGCAGTGTGATTCCTTTTATCTCCATTGTTGAGGAATCTCCTGGTTAGAATGTTTTTTGGGGGGACAAGATGGGGTCTTAGAGACCAGAGGGCCTTTTTACTCACACGCAGTGTGCATGCATTCAATACATGTGTATCGGGGCTCGTGGCCCTGGCAGACTTCTCTGCGCTGGGGACACAGCCATGAGCAAGCTAGATATAGCCCTGCCCTGCTGGCTCTCTCCTTCCACTGGGGAAACAGACAGCATGTACATGAACAAGGAACGCTGTGCCATTTAGTGACAAGTGCCCCAAAGAAAAGTAAACCAGAGAAACTTGAAAGGTGCTCACAGGGTGGTCAGGGGAGGCTCTCTGTGGAAGTGACTGGCAAAAGAACAGAATCCCAGATGGAGGGAGAGAGCAAACCTCTGAGTTAATGGGGGACATGTGTAGCAGGCACAGGGAATGGCCAGCCCAAAGGCCTCTAGATGGAAACATGATTGTTGTTTCCAAAGAAGAGCAAGACAGCCAGTGAGCCGGGGTAAGAGGTCAGAACAGGGAAAGCTGATGGAGGGATGGACTGGAAATAACCATTAGGAGTGCCCCAGCCTCACCCCAGACACCTATTCATGCATGCACACCACCAGCCAGCCTTTGCTGAAAACTGCACCTAGTGTCACGCGCTGTGGCCCAGAAGGGGAAAAGTACAAAGATTGTATTGCAGCAGAGTGTGTTCACTGGGCATCTGCAGAAGCCTGTGGCACCACTCAGGAGGAGGGAGGTCTCATCTGAAGGGCAGTGTGGGGAGGCTGTGGCTTAGGGAACACAAGAGAGGATTCAAAGGGGCAGCCGGCAGAGGGCTGGAGATGGGTCAGCAGTCCCGAGCTGAGGCATTTGGACCTTATTGTGCAGGCATGGGGGAGCCGTGGCAGGCTTTTTGGTGGGGAAGATAACATAGATGTGCCCCAGAGACTTCGCTCTGGCAGGACACAGATGGGCTATGGGACCAGACTGGAGGCAGGGAGGCCAGCAAGAGGCCGGAGCTATGGCCCAGGTCAGGGAGGATGAGGGCTGTAATTAGGAGGGATGATGAGGGTAGGGAGGGCATGAGAAACCACATCCTCCCACACTCTAGGGGACTACTTTGTGCTCCCAAATCTACTCAAGAAAACTCCCCAGAGCCTAGGAAACCCTGTCCGCCTTGATTTGAAGGAACAGTTAGCTCCTGGTACCTCTCACCTCCCTTCCTACTTCCCATGTGTCAGAGAAGAGCTCCGCTTTACATTAACAAGCAGAGCAATGAGAAAGGAAGGGATTCTGATCTCACCATCTCCCAAGTGGCCAGCACAGACTCTTAGTCGTGGTAGGCACCCAATAAATATTTGCCAGATAACCAATAAAATAATATAATAAAGTTCCATATGTTAAATCTTAGGATAGTGCCTGGACATAGTAACTGTCCTATAACCCTAACAGCAATCCTATAATGTAAATATAAGTACCCTCATTTAATAGCAAAAAAATCAATTGAGGCACAGGGAGGTTAAGTACTTGCCCCAGACCATCACACAGCTCATAAGGGTCAGAGTGGGATTCAAAACCAGGCAGTGGGGTCCAGAATGTGCACATAACCTCTTCCAACCTTAGTTTATTTAGCTGGCCTCTTAGCAACTTGTTCTTTGGACATTTGCTCCGAGTCTCACACTGTACTAGGCTCTACGGAAAATATCTCTAAAACTTAGGAGGCAGTGTTTGTCCTCAAGAAGCTGGCAACCCACCAAGAAGAGAGGACCTCTCAAACAAAGAGTTGAGGTGGGGCTGTTTGTTCCTAGTGACTGTGGTTAACCCAGCAGTTCAGGCCGTGACATTGGCCTGGGTTGGTGCTGACATTGAACTCTGGCATCTCTAGAGTATGCCCAGCAATGAGAAGGTACCTACTAAATATGTATGGAGAAATATATAAGGGACTCAAAAACGAGTCTTTGAATCAGAAAGTGGATCCAGAACTTCAGAGCTGGCACATCTGTTTCACCATAAACCATACAGATGGCAGTTCTGGCTCCTCTCCTGAGTAAGAGGGCCTTGAGGCAGCATATCCACCCCAGCAGGAAAGAAAGACGGATCACCAGCATTGAAGACAAAACTAGATATTCATCAAACTTTAGGGCTTATTTTCTTCTAAGATAGTTAACCATAAAGGAAAGTAGATTTCAGGACTGTCAGTAATAAGCTCTCCACTAACAGGCTCCATAATCGACATCTGTATTTTGAAATTTTATCCATCTTTCCATCTACTCATTCACTCACGTGTGTTCACTAAACACTAATTACATTCAGTGTTATGTACTAAATGCAAATCTTTGTCCCAAAACTTGAACTTTACCCAGTAGGATATACTTCCTCTCTGGCACCGGAAAGGGGATATTCCAGTGCGGCCATATGCAGGCAAAAGAGGAGGCTATCTTCAGCCTCTTCCCCATTGATCAGGGCTATGGGGCACAGGGTAACCCCACACCAGAGCACACACAGCCCAGGCTTGTTGGGATACTCTGAGATGGACAAGGATTATCAGGAACTGGACTCTGAATCAGAAAGTGGCTTTATCACCCTCTAGGTCACACCTGTATGGGGCCCTCCCTGGTGAATGGGACTTCCAGTTCCAAGCCCAGCCATGTGGCACAGAGATGGTCATATTGTGGCAATTTTTCCCTCTTTTTTAAATGTTTATTTTTGTGTGAAAGAGAGACAGAGCACAAGCAGGGGAGGAGCAGAGTGGGGGGTGGGGAGGACACAATTCAAAGCAGACTCCAGTCTCTCAGCTGTCAGCACAAAGCCCAACGCTGGGCTTGAACTCACGTTCCACGAGATCATGCCCTGAGCCAAAGTCGGATGCTTAACCAACTGAGCCACCCAGATGCCCTCCCAATTTTTTTTTCTAATTGTTCCTATTCAAGGGGCCAACAACTCAATGGCTTTCTTCTGGTGGGTGGCCTACAGGGACTCACGCAGTGTTCTGCACAGAGTTATGGCTTAGGAAAGACTTTTTGGTGGTTTATGTACCCCCATAAACCCCGAAATTCCTTCTCTGCCTCTTTGTGGGTCCACCCAGTTTTTGCTTCCAGGCCAAGCCTATATGGGCGCCTTGCAAGTAACTATTATAAATTGAGTGATTTAATAAGCTCTTGACATACTTTACCTGATTTAATCTTTGCCACTTCTCTGGGAAATGTCTAATGCTATTCTCATCTTGCCTATGAGGAAACCATATCTGGAAAGGATAACTATTAGTATTATGGTGTTTGCAAGCTTTGGCTGCAGGCCCTCACTTTGCTTCTCTCCTGTTATCCAGGGATACCATCGGCCTCGGCACTACATTGCAACTCAGGGTAAGTACCTCCTCTTCCTTGAAACAGTCCTTGCCCTTCACTGTAAGAGAGGGATGGGTGTCTGCCAGCAAAGAAGCCACCAGTAGAGCCTCCAGGTGTCCCTGGGAGTGTCTCTGTATATTTTTGGGGGGAAGGAATGAGGTGACAAGTTCAGCTCTAGGGGAGGAAATGATTGAGAGATGAAAAAGATGTCACTAGGAAGTGGTCAGGCAGGCAGACCGGAAGCATCAGTTTTAGGCATGTGCCTTCAATATCCACCATCCAGAACTGGAGCTGGTGCTGCCTTATCTCCTTGATGAGTGTACTCCTAGAAGACAGAAGTAGCCAGCCATTCTAGAAAACAACTTGGCAGTACATCAGAGGCCTAAACATGATTCTACCTTCTGAACCCTTTGGGGAGGATATCCTGTGGATACTTATATATATGGACAGTGACATATATAAAGATACTCTTCACAGTGTTATCTGTAATAGGAAAAAAGTGAAAAATCTTAAATGCCCAACCGTTGGTAGATTAGTTAAAATTTGATACTTCAATATTCTAGAAAATTATGCAGTGAATGCATTGCATGCTTGGTCAGAATTTTTAAGAACGTGCAAAAATGCATAGAATAATGATGCTTATTACAGCAAATACATATATAAATACAGGTACATATACAGAAAAATGTATACATATATAGAAAAATGCTATCCAGACTTTGACATCAAACACACGTGTTACTTTAGTAATTGTGAAAGTAATGAAGGCCCAGGACACTGAAAGAGAAATTTCCAAGGAAATTGCTTTGGCCTCTCAGATCTCTCTTGCCATCTCTCTTTTCCGTCCCTGCTGTTTGGGCTCCAGACGAATGCTCCCTGTGTTTGTCAAGCTCACATTTGGGCCTCTTTGCGCCGTGAGCACCTGGCTCTTGGTAGCTCTCTTTCCTCCCTTCCCTACAACCCCAATTTCCTCCCTGTTTCTCACTGAGCTTCCAGAGCCTAATTTTAAGAGGGAAAATTGTCACCAGGGAAGGGCAATGGGTGCAGGGCACATGGGGGCTGTGGGAGAGCAGAGGGAAGAGAAGAAGCTGTCCACATGTCCAGTGGATGCTTTAGTGCATGCTCTGCTCAGTTGGCCAGCTGCTTTTCTCTTCCCTACTCTGGCCCTGGTCTCAGCGACTTGGGTGTCCCAGCGAGGATAGTCTGGCCTTGCTCTTGCTCAACTATGCCGAGCCTTGACTGACCAAGCAGGAGGGACGGCCGCTTCCTTAACCCTAACACCTTCTCTGTCGGCAGGTCCAATGCAGGAGACAGTCAAGGACTTTTGGAGAATGATCTGGCAGGAGAACTCAGCCAGCATCGTCATGGTCACAAACCTCGTGGAAGTGGGCCGGGTAAGCCCCTCCCGCAGTCACTTGGACACAGGATGCTAGTGCTGCCCTCCGGAACATTCCTCTGCTCTGTGCCATGTGCCAAGTGCTCCCCCTCCCCCGCCCTCAACAGTGTTCAACAGTTCACCCTCACAACAGCCTGCATGGGAGACATCCTCACTCCTGCTTCCCATTCAGGGACTGGCCTTTCCCTTCAAATCACCCCACTCTCTACCCTCATCCCGTTGATGATGTCATCTCATGCACTTTGAGGAAACTGAAGCCATCAGATGTAAACTCTCATCTTCACACCGCAAAGCCACAATCCTACATGCATCTATAACCACCTTCTCATTCTTCCCCTCTCTCATCAGGGGGATCCATAAGAAATGGCCGTTTTTGTTGACCCCAAATAGTAGAATATCTGCCGTTTCTAATGGTTCAGCCTCCCCTGACGGAGGAAGTGACTCTTGCCCTTTCAGAGGCAATCCCAGTACCTTGAATCATAGAGTCTACTAGAGAATTTTCTCATTTCCCCACTCACTTGAAAAGTAGCTCTTTTTCTCATTGCTTGATCATTCCCCTGGACATAAAACATCCTGAGTACCGTCTCTCCGAAAAATACCAAACCTGCGAACAAAAAGGATTCTCTTGTCCGTACTTTTCTGCCAGACTCCAGAGACTCACACACAGGCTCCGTTTCTCCACTCCCGCCCTCCTCCCCATCCAGGGTAACTCCTCCCTCCATCCCACCCGTAATTACACCGTCAGTATCACCAGCATCCTTCATGTGGGCAAATAGCCACTTCCTTCCCATTGACCTCAGCCTCTCAGAGCATTTGACCCTTTGCTCCCTTACCTCTAAACCTTGATATTCCTCAGGGTTCAGGCCTTGGTCTCCCGCTCTGCTCTATCTTGACTCTCTCCTACGTCCTCCTTAGCTACTCCTAGGGCTTGGAAATGGGACTGCTATTCCCAGCTTGCTTTTGCCGACTTGCTAAACTGTGGCGTGTGGGTGGGTGGGCTGCTGGGTTTAAAGGCAAGGTGCACAGGCCCTAGAATGAAGAGGGCCTCTCCACTTAACATAAGAACTAACTGAAGAGTGGGCAGGTAAGTTTTTGTTTTGGCAAGAACCAGATAATCCATTAAAATAAAGAGTCCTGGTCTCCAAGATCATGGGAAAGAGAGAATCTGGGCTGATGTCGTAATCCAGGAAAGGGCTACGGACATCTTGTGGCATCATGGGACTCTAGGGCCAGGAGAGATTTTATCCTCGAGCCCACTCTTACCTAGTCCCTTCTCCAGTTTTACAGATGAGGAAACAGGCCCAAAGGGGTGGATCAACTACCCTGGAGTCCCCTAGCCAGAGCCCGTCCAGGATCACTCACTCTTGACTCTCATGCTATTTCGTGGCCCCTCCACTTACGACTGCTCCCCAGGATCCCAGGCCCGGGGGAGGAACTGCCGTGGACCAAAAAAAAAAAAAAAAAAAAAAAAAATGTCAGGCTAGGATTTAAGAATACAGAGGCAAATTCCAGCCCATTCTATAATATATCCCATTTGGAGACAGACAGACAGACTCCCTTGATGAACAGATCGTGAGTCTCATTTGGATTTAGGGAGGGAACAGGGGAGCAATCTCTTGATGGAACTCCTGCGAAGAGCCATGCACCATGCCAGACCTTACTGTGGATTCCTTCATCTTGATTCCCAACAACTGCCCAAGGTGGTGTTTCTGGTCATTATTCAGGTGGCCTAGCTTTGCATCCTGGATCCATCCATCACTGAACCTTGGACAATTGTTTTAGCCTCTCAGCGCTTCTGATTCCTCATCTGTAAAATGGGGTAATAATAATATCTGTATAAGGTTGTAATGATAAGCTATTTAAATAACACATGGAAGGAATTCATAGAACATTTAGTAAGCAATGAGAAACAAGAAGTTGTCACTAAGTGTTAGCTATCATTTTTTTAAGTTTATTTGTATATTTTGAGAAAGATAAAGAAAAAACATGAGTTGGGGAGGGGCAGAGAGAGAGAATCCCAAGCAGGCTGTGCTCTGACAGTGCTGAGCCTGACTCAGGACTCCATCTCATGAACCGTGAGATCATGGCCTGAGCCAAAATTGAGAGTCAGAAGCTTAGCCGACAGAGCTGCCCAGGGGCCCCTAGCTATCATTATTAATAAGTTGAGCCTCAGAGAGATTTCAGCACTTTCTGGAAGCTACACAGCTACACATGCATTTGCCTCCAAAGCCTGTTGCACTATACCAGCATTTCCCTAAGTGGGTTCCACGGGATGCTAGCCTGCAGGATGTCTAGTGAGAAGAGGGTTCCATGGTTAAATACGTTTGGGAAATGCTGTGCACTCTTTGCCCCTCTCGGAGAGTCGAAAACACGTTAGCGTTAGCGCATTCAACGAGCTCAGGAGTCTGGTAGCAAAGCGGCCTGTTTTAATTTTGTTTAATCCAGCATTTCCCAAACTCATTTGACCACAAAACCTTTTTTTTGTTTGTTTTTTTGTTTCTTGTTTTTTGTTTTTGTTTTTTTTTTTTTTACCTAACACCTATTAGCGCCCAGCGGAACACACTGTGGGAAATGCCACTGTAGGCCGCGCGGCGTCCCCCGGAATGGTAATGCTTTTGTTCTTTTTAGGGGAAAGCAATGATGATCTCTTCTTCCTCCCGCGTATTGTGACGTCGAGTCAGGATACGGGACTGGCTTGTCTGTAGCATCTGCACCCACCGCCCGACACAGAGCGGCTGCAGAGTTTTCCCTCTGAGCCCAGCACCCTCCATCCTTTTCCAAAATGAGAGCCTTTCTCCTTCCAGCCCCCAGTTTCCACCTCTTAATAGTAATGCCCCTCTCCCGACCACTTCTGCTTCCACTCCCTCACTGTTTCCCACCTTTTATTCTCATCTCTGCTCTGCTGACACGGCCCAGCCGCCCCAGCCCGATCTCTCAGAAAGAGGGCTCAGCCAGAGCTATGGAAGTGGCCACATGACCCCGGACAAGTCACCAGACCTCCACACACGAGCATTATTCTCATCTGTAAATGGGGTAATGCCACCTGCCTACCCCACCTTGATCTATTGCGATCACTTAGGGTGATGATGGACTTAGAGATTTTAAGGAGCTCTGCAAAAGAAGGTACCATTATCCCTAACAGCTCCAGTTCCTTGGGGAAAGAGCGTGGCCCTGTGCGGTTTGCCAGTCCCTGGCCAGCTGAGAACCCCTTCGACCGAAATTCCACCCAAATCGCCCTTGGGTTTATCTGAACAGGAAGGCCAGACGAGGCGGCTCCTTGCGCTCGGCCACACACTCATTCGTCCTGTTCTCTGTCTTTCCTCCCAGGTGAAGTGTGTGCGATACTGGCCAGATGACACAGAGGTCTATGGAGACATTAAAGTCACCCTGATTGAAACAGAACCCCTGGCAGAATATGTCATACGCACCTTCACAGTCCAGAAGGTAAGCGTGTTTGTTCATTTGGGGCACACAAACTCCCCCCTCTAGCAGGAAGGACAAGCAGAATTCAACAGACAAATACATGGACTCATGCCATATGGTGATAAAAGCCACGGGAAAAAACATGCCACGAGTGGAGACCGGAAGATGACATGGTCAGAGAGGGCTTCCTGGAGGAGGAGGTATTTAGGCAGATAATGAAGGATGAGAAGAAGCCAGCTGAGGGAAGAACTGGAGGAAAAGTCTGCCAGGCAGAGAGAAAGAAACACGCAGAGCCAAGGGGAAAGAGTTCAACATGTTCTAGGCCTGTGGTTCTCAGCTGGTGGTGATTTTGTCCCACAGGGGACTTTTGACCATGTCTAGGGACATTTTAGTTATCAAATCTGAGAAAGGAGGGGTGCTCCTGGCATCTGTGGGTGGAGGCCGAGGATGCTGATTAACATCCTGCAATGCATAGGACACCCCAGGCCCCAACCACAAACGTCAGTGATGTGGGGGTTGAGAAATGCCGGTCTAGGCATTAAAACAAGGCTGGGGTGGCAGGAGCTAGTGGGCAAGAAGGAGATTCCAAATAATCATTAGATTAATAATTTAATTACTGTTATTAATGATAGCTAATGCTTATTGAACAATTACTAAAGCAGGTGCTTTTCCCAGTGCTTTGCATACATGAACTCATTTAATCTTCCCAACAACCTCTCCAGGGAGGTACTATCATGACTCCCATTTTAGAGGTGAAAAAAATTAGGCACAGCGCATGTACGTCCGCTGTCCAAAGCTGCCCAGCCGCAAGCCGGCGGAACCAGATGCCCATCTCAGCCCCTGACTTGAAGCTCACTGTGCCTTCCCCTACTCCATGCGTGCCATTTTCTGAAAGCACCTACTCTAATGGACCAAGTGGCCACAGACCCAAGAAGCACCGGGGATTCACTGCTTTGAGAGCTGCACTGTTGGGGTTTGGACAGGTGCTTGTGAGGACCGAAGCGGGCGCACGCATGCTATGGTACCTGCACGCATGGTCGAGTACAGTTTCCCCTGCAAGCCCTGTGCTACTAAAGGCCCACATCTGCAGGCTCAGGTGCAGAGCCAGGGGGAAGGGCCCTTCTCCTTAATGAGGAGAAAGACACCATGTGCATTGATGTTGCCTTAGCTCAGGTTCCTTAGAAGCAGAGCCTGAGACAAGGATTCGGGTGCATATAGTGTACCCAGGGACCACTCTCAAGAGAGATTTGTAATAGAGAAGGAAGCAGGAGAGGGAAGGAGAAGGAGGTGAACAAGAGGGTCTTCAGCAAAGTCTAGCCTAGGCCTGCCCCAGGGTGCTTCCAGAGCATGACCTGCACTAGAGAGCTGGCATCCTTGCCTCAGTCTGCCCTCTGACCATAGACCAGCCACTGAGAGGTGACCTCCAGCACGAGTTGGCTCCTGTCGGCCAAGGGCACTTCAGCAGAAAAAGAGAGTCCCTCACAGTCAGCACTCCTGCAGTGGAGGCCTGGGGTCACAAGCCACAAAAAGGACCTGGACAGGGCTCCTATCTCATCTGGCACAGAGGCAGTTAGTGCGGAGAGTGAGATGAGCAGTGGGGACACGGTGGCCCATCCTGGGTCCCACACCTGAGCAGGGAGGCTTTGGAGAACTGTACACAGGCACTCAGCAAACTGCCTGGGTCATTAGCTCAAAATCGGTTCTTGAGCCGAGCCCAGGACCCAGAAATAATAAACAGGAAGCAGCATCTGCCCTTGAAGAGAGCACAGTCCCAAGTGGGAGAGGGGCCCCCTGACACATGACCAGAGGGCAGGCGGTGAGGGCTCGAACAAGGGCTTCCCCAGGCTGAGGTGACTCTGAGTCTGGAATGAAAAACTGAGTGTTCCTGAAGCTGGTTTCTCTTCTCCTACTTCAGCTCGTCCATCAGGGCCCCCATCCGGGCCTTTGTTCAGTCCCCCGCCCCGGACTCCCACCCCAGCCTCCTCCAGGGCCTCTCTGTTTCTAGTCTCACCCTGTCTTAGTCTGGGTTTCTGGGAAGCTGAGCCTGAGGCAGACCTTTGGGTGCCCTTGTTCTGAAGAGAAGAGGAGAGGAGGGGAGGGGAGGGGAGGAGAAGGGGGGAGAAGGGACAGGGCAGGGAAGGAGCCACGTGAGGGAGTGTTCTGGAGACATCTGGTCCTGTCTCAAGGCAGAGGGGTCTTCTGTTCCTCCATTAGGGTAACCCCACGCCCTGGTGTGCCCAGGACTATCCTGGCTTTAGCACCAAAAGTCCCATGTCCCGGGAAACCCCTCAGTCCTGGGCAGACTCAGCAAGTCCGCTGCTCCCTCTGCTGTCCTCCAGCCACTGAAGGCCGGCTGCCCACCCCAACCCCCAGGGGAAGTGGCTCCTGTCGGGCTGAGCAATTCTCTGAAGGAAGGGGTGGCTGTGGGTGTCTGTAGTCAAGACTCAGAGGAGCGGGGGATGGGGTTCCTGGCCCAGGAAAGGGGGTCTGGGAAGGCACCATCAGCGCCGTCTGCACCGCTCCTCAACACACCCGCTCAGATCCATGCTCCACGGGTCCTCCCAAAATGCAAGCCTGATGATGCACCTCCCCTTCTGTGCAGCCATCCCTGCAGCCTCCCCAGCTCCCCAGTAAAGACCCAGTGTGGGATGCAAGGCCTCCCGGGATCCAGCACCTGCCCTGTCTTCCACTCTCCTCTGGGGGTGCCCTGCTTGTGATCTGTGCACGTGCTGTGCTAAGCCCTGTCCCCACGCAGACACCTGTGCTGCCTATCTGCCGAGGAATCCCGTCATCCCTTCCGCCGGGCAGTACTCGGACATCAGTGTCTCATAGTGACCAGAAGTGCAGGCTCTGGAGTCCAACAGCCAGGGTCCAACTGGGTTACAGCTAACTAGTTGTGTGACCTAGTTGTGTTACTCAACCTTGCTTAGCCTCAATTTCCTCATCCACAAAACAGAGATAACAACATAAGGACTGGTATGCAGATTAAAGGAGTTAATACATTGAAATGTTCAGGAGAGTAACAGGCATGGAGTGCTGTGCTTAATAAACATTAGCTATTGGGGCAGTTGGGTAGCTCTGTTTGTTAAGCATCTGACTTCAGCTCAGGCCATGATCTTGAGGTTAATGAGTTCGATCCCCATGTCAGGCTTTGTGCTGATAGCCCAGAACCTCCTTTGGATTCTTGTCTACCTCTCTCCCACTCACACATGTGCACTCTCTCTCCTTCCAAAATAAGTAAGCATTAAAAATTTGTTTTTTAATTTTTTAAAACTTTAAACTTTAAAAAACTTCTTTAAAAAAATAATATAATAATAAAACAATAAATAAAATAAAAATAATAAAATAGTTAAAAATAATAAATCTTAGCTATTATTGTGTTTCAAGACTTGGGCCATGCATCACCTCCTCTAGAAAGCCTTCTATGATTTCTCCTTCTCCGGATGGGGTTACCTGACACTCCTTTAGATACTTCAGTAGAATTACCCACTTAAGAGTCTGCCTCCCCAGCTAGATCATGAGCTGTTCCAGGGACAGGGGCCATGGCTTTTATTTCTGCCTTCACAATGCCTAACATGAGGCAGATACCTCGGTGAATATTCTTTAACTGAAAGCATGAACACTCTTCCTACCCAGTGTTCTCTGCACACCTGCAGGAGATTGCAAGTTAAGAGAAGCTGGAGCCTGCCGAAGTTCAGGTTCCAGGTGACACCTGACTACAGACTGGTCAGAGCAGTGCCCTTAGCCCGGAGGGTATCTGGAAGGAGCGGTGAGGGGGGAAGTGGAGGGAACTGAAGCCCCAGACTGCACTGCCCCTGTTTCCTATCTTACCGTTCTAAATAAGAATCTCAGGACTGGAGAAGTCTGACACACCATAGAGACAGTGACAGACAGGACTGGAGAACTGAGGGACACAGACTTCAGTCACTGAAAAAGCCTATGGTCTACTGGCAGGGACTTGAACTTGGTGTTTGAAGCCAACCTTCCTTTGAGTGTGTTCTGCTTAATATCAGTCCCATGACACCCTTGTCAAAAGAGGGTTCCTTGGTGAAACACTGTGCGAGGCTGTAACACTCCCTTGGGGATACAGAGTGTACATGGGCCCACTCAAGGCTCTGAGAAGTCCTGCACCAAAGCCACCACCTCTACATTATCTACTTCCATGGCTCCCGGACACAACAGATCACAGAAGTCACCCTGTGTGGCAACCCCTGCTCACACTGGCAGAGTCCTCTCCTCCCTGATGGCAGCGAGGCTGGTTCCTCAGTGCAGCAGCCATGTTCCCCATGCGTGCTGGGCAATGTGGGGGCAGCAGCTGGAGGAACAGAGGCGCATTCTCTCCTCAGAAAGGCTACCACGAGATCCGGGAGCTCCGCCTCTTCCACTTCACCAGCTGGCCTGACCACGGCGTCCCCTGCTATGCCACCGGCCTCCTGGGCTTCGTGCGCCAAGTCAAGTTCCTCAACCCCCCCGAGGCGGGGCCCATAGTGGTCCACTGCAGGTAAGTGAAGTCCTCCAGCGCTGAACAAGGCTGCTTCTGCAGCCTTGCTCTTGGGTAGGAAGACGCTGTCTTTCCAGTGGCCTTTATTCTTCACCTTCAAGACTGCCCTGCCCTGTGTCCCCAAACCCAGCCCTAGCCCCAAGGTCTGATGACAACAACAATAACAAAGTAATAGTAGAAGTACCAATTGGTATGATTACTGTTGCCCTGAAATAGTAAAGCCACCTGGGGATGTGGGCTTGCGCCAACAGCATCGCCTTCATGTGCACTTTGCACAACTTCTCACACAGCCTGGAGGGGGGGGGGGGCGTTATCATCCATCCCATTTTACAGATGAGAGCACCGAGGTACTGAGAAGGCGGACACTTTGCTCGGGTCCCACAGGTGTCAGATGGCAGAGCCAGGAGTTCACAGCTTTCGCTGCAGATGCTCGCCCTCAGCTCCTTGCGGGGACAGCAGGGTGCCTCAGCGGAGGCATGCTTGTCTTCAGTTCTCTTATTTTAAAAATCAATTGCTGGCCTGCAGGGTCCTTAATAGAGAGTAAATGGGCAGCGCAGGGCTTCACCTTATTATGGAGAAGAGATATTTTCAGCTCTGACCTAGAAAGTCCCACGGAATGACTGGCACATCTTCCAATCTTCCTAAATGGAGATGAAGTGTTGTGTCAAGGGCATTAAGAAATGGACAAGACCTGAAGGCCAGCTGGCCTGCACACTCCTTCCTCCCAGTGCCTCCCTCTTCCAGTGTGACCCTGGGCCCAGCCCAGCTTTTCAGGCGCTGCGTGTTCTCAGCTGCGTGTAAGTTATCTTACCCTTGCCCTGGCGGTGTCCATGTCAGTCAGGGTCTTCAGTCAAGCCAAGGAGGGTCTCCACAAACTCCAAGCATCTGGGAGTCAGCCCCTTCTCACTCAGCATCCACTTACCCTCCCCCTGCCACGAGTGGGTGTGAATTGGACACCCCATTTCACAGATGAGGTCACTGAGGTTTAGGAGGGAATGCTCGTCGTCACCTCTGGGCTCCCTAGGCATTTTGTATATATAGTCTGCTTTACATCTCATGACAATTCAAGGGCAGGAGAATGTTTGCGCCCCAGTCCTGTGTCCCAGAGAGCAGCCAGAGAGGAATAAGGGAAAGATAAGGGATGAGGGAGGAAGGGAGACAACGGCAGACATTCATCAGGCTCTCCTTGCACAATGTCTCCATGTCTTACCCCCATAGTAAGTCAGCCTAATGCGCCAGGCACAGCGGTCCCCACTCCTGGGTCTATTCTGAAGATTTAATGTGTTGGGTAACAAATATGAGGTGCCTACGAGTAGTCCTGACATATAATAAGCACTTATAAAATACCACCATTCTCTGCCTGTAATGTTGGCCCCCATTCCCGACCCCAGCACCTACTGCATACTAGGTGCTCAGTAAATATTTGTTGAATATAAGTATCCACCATTTACTGAGAAATTGCTATGTAGCCAGGCATAGGGCTAAGCGTTTCCATGCATTGTGCTTTTTCAGCATAACGTCATGCAACTCACACGTATTGTGTTATTAATTAATGCTACATGGTGGGTCTATTTATTATTATCAGCCTCACTTTATGGTTGAGGTTATGGAAGCCCAGAGAGGTTAAGTCATTTACCCAAGGTCACACAGCTCCTAAGTGGTTGAGCCAGGATTTGATTCCAGGGGTCTGGCCCCAAGCATCATGAGCTCAGTTGCTGTGTGAGGGAGAAATAAATACAGCTCAGGTGCTCAGGAGAACCCTGCAAGGAGGCATGTGGTACATGTGAGGCAGCTTGTTCACTGGTGGTGGATCCAAGATTCAAACCCAGATCAGGCTGCTTGTGTCCCCTAAAGCAGGCTGAGGAGGAGACGTCAGGAAGACATGGATGAGTGCCTCTGTGTGGTCCCTCCTAGCCACTGGGGCCCAGCCTGCCGAGTCCCTTCCGAGGGATCTGGATCGGAGGTGTAAGGGTTCAAGTACAAGTCAAAGTGAGCTCAGTTTAAACCATGAAATTTTTACTAAGAACAAAGAGTGCTTCTCAGGAGTTTGTTTTCCAGATCATTGTGGGTGACAGTCCCCAACAGCCGGTCCTGCCTGTATTTGTGTTCAGCCAGCATTGCTGTCCTTCCTGCCCCATCCCTGGTTCCCCCAGGGGAAGCAAGACGTGAAAACGCACCCAACATGGGCCTCCTTGCTGGTCGGGCCTTCCTTTCCTAAACTACACGCGTTCATGGTCAAGGTTCTCTTTGTCTCTGGTTCAGTGCCATGACCAGAACCAGTGCTGAGCTGGGACCCATGCTGAAGTCCATGGGGTCATGCTGAGCTTTTCTGCTGTTTTGTACTTGGTCTGAGATTCTCCTAAAGGGAACACCAGTGATCAGAATAGAGTACGTATCAGAATCAGAGCGTGTATACTGGACCAGGGCCTTGGGGGCATCACCTGCTCCAGTTTAAGGATGCTCCTGGCAAGTGTTCCTGGGCAAACAGGTGCAAGCGGAGTCAGGGCCGGGGCTTGTGACACGGGACTTGGGACTCACTCTTTGCCGGATCTGGTTTCTGCCCTCCTCCCTTTGTTCTGTTCCCTCATCTCGCCTTCCTCACTGTCATCCATCAACCTGTTTGCCGACGAAGGGAAAAAGAGGAACAGAAAGGGGGTAGGGAAGACATGTTTATTAGGTACCTCCAGTGTGCCAGGCCCCATGCCTTGTATGCTACAGACAGATTAGCTGCACCCACCAGATGAGACAACCACAAGCATACGTGTTGCTGAAGCATGCATTTTGTGCTCTGACTGCTACTAAGAGAGAACGTATAAGAGCACAGGACCTGGAGCCAGATGGCTGGGGTAAAAAGTCCTAACTCCACTGCCTGCCAGCTGTGTGACCGTGAGTAAGGTCAGCCCTCCACACCTCACTTTTCTCACCTGTAAAATGGGGTGAGAAACTTAACAGGCTCACAAGGGAGTTCATAGGTAACATTTGTAAAGCACTTAGAACAATGTCTGGCACTCTGTAAGCACTAAATAAATGCTTGCTAATAAGTGCAACAAATATAAGCAGGTTTTGCTAAAACAGCCCCAAAGGCCAGCATTGCTCTCCAGTTTTACAGAAGAGAGAGCCGGGGTTCTAAGTTCACTTGCTTACTCAGAGACTACCCACAGTGCTGGGATTGACTTTCGTGTCTGACCTCTACAGCATGCCTCAGGAAGGGCTGAGTGGGAGGGAAGGGGGGCTCCCTAGGGCTGGTCCCATCCCAAGGTCCCTAACACAAGACACTGTCCTCTCTCCCAGTGCTGGGGCCGGGAGGACTGGCTGCTTCATCGCTATTGACACCATGCTTGACATGGCCGAGAATGAAGGGGTAGTGGACATCTTCAACTGTGTGCGTGAGCTCCGGGCACAGAGGGTCAACCTGGTGCAGACAGAGGTGAGTCCCAGGGCAGCTGCAGCCCTGGCCAAGGAGAAGCAGGGTAGCGCCCGTGCCTCCCATGGATGGAGGCATCCTAGAGAAAGAGACCTGGGGTGGGAGAAATGGAGGAAGGGGATACATGGCTTGCTGCGGTGAGACCACAGTAGAAACCAGGATACTCCTGCCCACTCCGAGGCCCCTCTGTGCAAGGACTTCTACCAATGAAGAACAGTAGGGAATTCCCCAGCACTGAGGGCATCCAAACAGGGGCTGAATGGCAACTTCCAAGGATTCTTCAAATGGTATACCTACATTAGGGGAGGAAGAGAGATAGGGAAGGATTGGCATTTATAGAATGCCTGCTATGTGCCAAGCATTGCTTCAGTCCCTGCAGGATAGCTTAACCAACAAAATTATTGAATATGTAGGCTGGGTTCTAGGGATTCCAAAACAGATAGCATATAGCCCTTGCCTTTGGGGGAAAAGCAGATCTTCAAGGCCCCCTCTGTCCAGGTTGAGAGCCCAAGACCTGTGGGAAATGAGAGGAGTCCGTCTTTAGTGTCGAGCATCTATCTACCATGTGCCAAGCACCCTGAATACAATCCCTTTGTATTCAGGGTATTGCTTCTACTCTTCACAACAAGCCTATCAGACAGGGATCCTATCGGTACCCCCATTTTACTGAGAAAGAAACTGAGAAGCTGGATCCCCAAGTGCTCACATAGGAGGATGATGGGTCCATGTGACTCCAAGGCTCAAGCACTTCCCCCTGAACCATGCTTTCTTGTTAGGCCATCTTTTCTGCCTACCCTACCCCTCAAAGCCCTTGCTGGTTATTATAAAAGCTGATCGTCTGGTTCTAGGGAAGGCTGTGGGTGCCCAGGAAGCCAGCTAAGGCAGATAAGAAGCTGCATCCATCACCAGTCCTGCAAAGGGAAGTGCTGGCTTTGGGCATGGCCAGTCACCCCTGCAGTTACAAGCTTATATACAGAGGACCCTGCCGTGGGCTAGTGTCTAGACTTCTTGGTGAGGCTGCAATATAGCCGAGAGGCTGCTTTATCTGTTCCCAGGTTCATGCTTGCGGAAGACAGGCTTGCTGGCTGGCATTAGACACATGGTCCCTGCTGTCTGGTGGGGGAGACAGACATTCAAATAGATCATCGTGATGCATCTGGTTAAGTGTTTTATGTAGGGCCAAGCTCTGCAAGAGAGCACTCAACACATGTTAAGGGCCTGGGAGCAACAGCAGCAGCTTCCACCTGGTGGAGGTGCAGAAGGCCGTGCAGAGGGGATGAGGCATAGGGGCCACAGGAAACAGGGAATGGCGCTCGGGGAGAAGAGAACAGCAGGTGCAAAGAACAGAGGTGGCAGAGGACAGGGCTCAGGAGGAGACCCAGAGATAAGGAGATGAGGGTAAGTGATTTATTTGAGAAGCGATTCCAAAACTCACTGGTTGGAAAGCAAAGAGAAGGAAAGGAAACCAAGCTTTGTGACACTGTTAAGGTGTTTTGCAAAGTGTTTAACCCTGTGAACAACTGGAGCCCAAGCCTACTGGCATCTCTGAGGTAGCATGAAACATGCCCTTCCGAATCTCCCACCTGAGAGAGAAGGAAACTTAGGTACTTACACCCCAGCTCTCCAGCTGACTGCTTGAGGGCTGCTTTCCAGAGCACTGGCTCTTCAGCGCTGCTGGCTCGCCCAGCCCAGGTGTGCGCCTGGGGCTAGAGGAAACCCCTTGGCATGAACCTCACGTGCTTCCAGTAAGTAGGCTTCAAGGTAAAGGTGAAAGCTGGGGGAACATAAGCCAGGTACCAAGAACCCTACTGCAGCACACTCAGAAGTTTCTAACTTTCATCAGTGTCTACACAGGTCAGTCTTAAACCGGTGACAAAAATCACCATTGCACAGGTGATCACTGAGAATCACGGCAGTTGGCCCTGTGGGTTTTCGGATAGGAAGCAGTGATTCTGCAGCCTGAATCCTGGCCCTGCTTCACAGCCATGGGATTCAGTTTGGATAACAAACTCCCAGGCCATTATCCTCACCCAGCACCCTCTTCTCGCCTTGGCCGGACAGGAGCAGTATGTGTTTGTGCACGATGCCATCCTGGAAGCCTGCCTCTGCGGCAACACCGCCATCCCCGTGTGTGAGTTCCGCTCTCTCTACTACAACATCAGCAGGCTGGACCCCCAGACCAACTCCAGCCAAATCAAAGATGAATTTCAGGTATGAGCAAATCCCAGGCTCAGGGACCAGCCAACTTCAGCAGCACTGATCAGTCCGTGGGGTTTTCTTCGTGAGGACTGATAATTCTGGTGCTCCCAGCGTCTGCAGCTCCAGACAGCTGCAGAATGTATTCTCGAACGTACAGCGCACAGCCATGAGCAACTATTAACCAGTCACTCGGTGACTGCTAACGCTTGTTTTAACTCTGAGTATGTTTTTGAACTAACTTAGTTCTAGTCCAGTCCTAGCTGTGGGTGGAGACAGGTTTATAAACACAGGTGTGTGAGTTTCATGCTCTGCCGTTCCTGGACGGACTCAGATTTTTTTCTTACTATTTCTGTGCAATTAGAGGTGTGTCTGTCCTAGATCCTCACTACGGGTAGGGTCTGAAGACCAGCATCATAAGCTTCTACATCAGGAATGTAGAATCTTGGGTTCCACCCACATCTACTGAACAAGACCGTGGAGTTTAACAAGATCTCTGGATGACTTGTCTGCACATTGAACTTTGGGAAGCACCATCCCAGAGCTCAGCTCAGACGTGGCACATCTGTACCCTGTAGCCCAGGTGGCCAGAATGGTGGCCACCTTGGTCTGGAGGCCTGGACATGAGTGACTGAGTAAGCCAAGAGGCCAGCCCGTTGTCCTGAGGTCAGTGCCAGGGTCTTACCTGAGCAACGGGAGCTGAGAACCAGGCAGCAGGAAGCAAGGAAGCTCCAGGAACTGAGGGTCAAGTACCCAGTCCCTGGTTCCATAGGCAGATACCACAGCCAGGCCAGAACCCCCATGCTCCCTCAAAGAGAAGCTTTACTGATCAGGAGAGGAGACCAGGTGCTGAGTAAGGAGAAAGACAGAGGCCACAGCCCCCTCGTGGGTGCACAGAGTATCTGGTCTCCTGGCTGGGCAATTCAGCTGTGACCCCACACTTGCAAGATTCACTCTGCACAACACAACCCTGATATTTTCCAGACTCCTAGAGCTTGCCCCCGGGGGTCTCTGGCCCAGCCTGAGCAGCTCATCCAGACACCCTTACATTCCAAAAACCGTTTTCTATAAGAGGAGCATTAGTGAAATCCCTTCCCTCCTTCCTCGGCACTTCAAGGGATGCATAACCCTCATTGGGGATTCCCCACCCCCACCCCCTGACTTCCTGGCCAGCCCACCCTTTACAGAGATGAGCAGCTTAGCTCAAATGGCTGGCGGGTGTTGGCAGCCTGTGTCTGCTCCGCGTGTGGGCATGCTGTCTCTGCAGCCTTAGAATCATGGCGGTGTCTCACAGCCCCGGTAGAAGCTCTCAGCCTGCCTGGAGCAGCCAACAGGAGATGGCAGGGCATCGCATGGGAGAGGAGTGAGTCCTGGGGAAGGACAGGAGGGCTCAACTTTCAGGATGGAGATAGAGTGGGGTAGGCTGGCTTTGAACCTCACTATCTCCTCTGTTCACGGCAACTGCCTGAGTAGTGGCTACCTGTCTCTCTTTGTGCCCTACAGACCCTCAACATTGTGACTCCCCGCGTCCGGCCAGAGGACTGCAGCATCGGGCTCCTGCCCAGGAACCACGATAAGAACCGGAGCATGGATGTCCTGCCTCTGGACCGCTGCCTGCCCTTCCTTATCTCGGTGGATGGGGAACCCAGCAACTACGTCAATGCCGCACTGATGGACGTAAGCTGAGCCCTGGCTGGCCCTCACTGGGAGGTTTCTCCAAGGGGGAGATGGCCGGAGCCCAGGGCACTGGCACCCGACACCACCACCCCCAACCAGCCTCTCCTTGCTTCTGATCTTCCTGACCACAAGGACCTTTGCTCCCCCTGAAGGCTCTGGTCCAAACCTGCATACAAGCCATGTTCTTGGCTCTTTGCTCCCACAAGCCTGGAAAGAATAGACCAAAAGCACAAAATGGGTCCATGACAGCACAGCACAAGCTGTACTTTTCCAGTACACCCTCCTGCTGCCCATAGAGCTGACTCTCAGCCTTAAGGTTAGTTCAGGAGACATTCTCGATGCCCGACCTTGGGCCTGAGCCATGGAATGCAAGATGGTGCAGACATAGGTTCTGCCCTTAGGGAGCTCCCAGGCAGACTCCCAGATACCTCCTGTGCAGAGGCCAGAATGAGGCTGGAAGATGGTAGGTGCTCAGTAACTGGACAGGTGATGGGCTTAGCAAAGGGCATGGGCCATGTGCCTGACTGCTCTGTCAGAGGCACTGAATCCCCTGCCTTCTCAGCAGCAAGTCTAAGAAGGGCACTCCTACCCTGACCTGGTTTAGGGTCATGACCCTAATTAGGAGGTCATGTCCTTGCCCCAGTGAGTCCATGTTCCTGACTCGTATGCTTCCCCTCTGGGTCCTTTAGCTACTTCCAGTGATCATTCCTCAACCTCCTGGATGTAGAGATACTTGCAGCAGGAAGGAGCCATGGATTTTCTGGTCTCATCCTTGTACTTTTCAGCAAAGGACACTGAGACCAGAAAGAGGAGGAGATTTGCTCAAGGTCACCTGAAAGCTGCTGGCAGAGCCAGAGCCCAGGACTCCTACTCTAGAATTCATTCCTTGGGCCTCCCCACAGTTTGTGCCATCCAGTAAGACACAGACATCTTGCCTCATGAGGTTCAGGACCAAGAATACCATTGCCTGATTGGGAATAAGCCCTTCCAGGTTCCCCTTCTCACTCATGTCCATGGTTACATCCATCCAGCCCATGTGGACTTCCCGTCTCACCCAGAGCAGGCAAGAATGTGGGGTGCTCTGTCCTGGGGTCAAAGCCAACTACTTCTCTGACTTCTGACCCTCCTAAAACTCTCCTCAAGGGCCCTCAGTGTTGGAGGCAGGTGATGGCAGGTTAATGCTTTTCAGCTCTATCAGGGCCTGCCCTGGCCTTGGCCCACAGGGTACCTACCCCAGGTCCTCCATGGAGACACCGGCTACGGGTCCAGAAGCAGGGAGCCTTGTCCTGGTCAGATCAAATAGAGAAGGGAAGACCTTTGTCCTTTATCTTAGAGTCCTCTATGGTTTATGTGTGCATGTCTGTGTATGTGTGCATGCATATGTGCATATGTGTGCGTGTGTGTGTGCATGTGCGTGTGTGTATGCGTGCGTGCGTGTGCGTGTGTGTGTGTGTGTGTGTGTCAGGAGATGGGGCCTGCAGGTATACTCACTTCCAGGTTCCTCATTGCTTTTTCTCCCACTTGTCCCAACTCCCTCCCCCTGGCATCCTCATCTGTGTAAGGATCAAACATGCTTCTGGCCTCTACTTAGTGGGTTAGATGTTGCCTGGAGCCACATGCCTTCTGCCAAGCTCTGATGCTGCTTGTGTTCTCTTTGTCCACAGGGCATTTCTCCTGTGAGCCATCACTGGGCCTTTGCCTTTCTTAAAAAAAAAAAAAAAAGTCCTTATCTGTATTCCAGTTCAGTCTGTGCATTATCTGGTAACCATAGCAGCTTTGCTCCCAGCAGAAAAATATGAAGTCCTCTGGGTTAATTTTTAATGTTTCCCCTGGTAAAGGATGATGTTATCCATGAAATGGATTGCCGGCTGATCCCCGAAACCCGGCAGGAGTGCGGATCTTGAACATACTCTCAGATAAGGCTTTGTGAGGCATGCTGGCCTAATAGAGCATTTATCACAGAGTCAGGGGAAAAGGAAAGAGAACTAACATTCACCAAGCGCTGGGCACCATGTCAGGCCCTGGACTTACCCTGACTCATTCTGTGTTTGGGTGTTACAAACCCTATTTTCAAAATGGAATACTGAGGCTCAGAGTATTTGCATGACCATCTCCAGGTCAACTAGCTCAGAAAGGGCGGAGCCCAGGGTCTGGATCCTGGTTTCTGAATTTTAAAATCTAGATTCTTTTCTGTGTCTAGAAATGGCTCAAAGACCTGCTCTCTGCAGCTAGAGTTCTGCCCGCCCAGACTCCCCCCTTTGAACATTCCACTGGCCAGAAGAAGGCCCTTGGAAGACAGGAGCCTCATGCCTACATGACATCCACAGCTGTAAGGCATTTTTTTGCCCAGGACATCAAGAGATAATGGAACGGACAGGTGCTTTATGTAGTATGGTTGGCAAGGTCTTCTGCCCGGGTCTTCCCCTGGCAGACAGGCAAGCCCCTCTATTCTCCCTATCTTCTTGCTGACTCGACCCTCTACTGAAAACAGCTGTGTCTGCCACAAGGCCTGTCTCTCAAGAAAGCTTGTTAAGAACATAGGTTATGGATCATCTCCAGTTTCACAGACCACTAAAGGAGAAGCCCTCCTCCTCCAATCTTTCCACACCCCTCACAAGATACTATACTGAATAGGGCCCAGTCGGACCTTCCAGTGTAGCCCAGACTAGCACAAGCTCATTTATGGGGGCCTGTTTCCCCATCTGTAACATGGGACTGTATCCATTTGTTTTCTGGACCTATGCTGGGTGTCTCATGTGCCAGCCACAGCACTGGGGCCAAGGATGAAGAACCAAGTTCTGTTTCTGCCCTGCCAGTGGGCTCGCAGTCTGTTCTTGTGTGCTGGTCTTTTCAAATGTAAATCTCATTCGGTCTATATGACAATACCCCTTTGGAGTTGTGATTCCCCTTTCCCAGATGAAGAACCTGAGTTTGGAAAGATCTAGTAACTGGCCAGCACTATACAAATGATGGATGGATGGATGGATGGATGGATGGATGGATGGATGGATGGATCTGTACACATGACTTATAACATACAAGTTGGAAAGCTGCATTTGATCCCCAGGTCTTTGTGACTCTAAAACCTGAGCACCCCCCCACTGCCCATTGTCTCACAGCACACAGTGCCCATCTTCAGCCAGGCCTTGGGGCAGGAGTGAGTCCCCTGCAATAGAAGCTCCTTCAGGAGGCTCTCTGCCTTGGGCTGAGCCAACCCCTCCTCTAGCATTGTGGGCACAGGATCACATCGAGGTCCCTAATGTCCCAGGAGGTGCTTTGGCCAGCAGAGCAGCAAATCTGCATCCAGAATCTTTCATTTCATATTGTAATGATGATTATTTGCTGAGCTCCAAAACATAAATAATTTATTTGAATAATCCCCAGCCGAGTGACACTTTCCTAACAAAATGTCTTAGTTTAGAGGAGAATGAGTTCATTATGAGGAGGCCCCCTTTTGTCACCTGGGCACCGAGAGATAACAGAACAGGTGGGTGTTTGTGCAATCTGTTTGGCAGGTTCGGGGGGGGGGGGGCCTCTGGCAGCCATCCAAGCCTCATCATCATCAGAACATCACTGATGGATGTGTATTTTACAAAGCCTATGTCATTCCTTTGTCAGAGCCACAAGCAGCCTGCCGCCTTCGTGGTCACCCAGCACCCTCTACCCAACACCGTGGCAGACTTCTGGAGGCTAGTGTTCGATTATAACTGCTCCTCCGTGGTGATGCTGAATGAGATGGACACTGCCCAGGTAGGAGGGGCCCAGCCACTGCCATAGGTGCTCAGAGGCATTCGGGTAGCCATGCCCAGGAGTTGGAGGGAGAGCCTGAAGGCCAGCATAGTGCTTCCTCTGCCCAGCCGAGCTGTCTGCTGATGGGCACTGTCTGGCTTCAAGCACCAATCCAGCCCATCCTGCTGCCAGTGGAGGCTGGAGGTCTCTTCCCAGGCCCTGCCACCCCTGAGCCCTCTAATTTCCAGCAATGACTCCCCCTGTTTATAGGCTTCGTCCAGCCCTCCTTCTCCATCCAGAGCCAGATTCTGTTCCATCCCCCATGCACTGATTAGGGTCTTGCTCCAAGTCACACTGAGCACACTGAGCCGAGAGGCTGAGCATCCCCAGTCCTTCAGCATATTGTGATGCCTGGCCACACCCACCCACCCACCTAGCCTGCCCCCTAGGAGATGCACCCAGCACTGACAGAACCTGGAGTTTGAACCGTGGACCTTTTGCCCACTAGCCACCCAGACGATCCTGGCTTCATCCCAGATGACCCCTGTGTCCAGGTGGGCTTCATGCTTTAGCGCCCCAGGGTCTGACAGCCCCAAGCATCATGTGCCTAAAGCACATGTCATGGGACAGCTTCTGGAGCCCAAGTCCCCATAGCAGGACAGCCATTCCTGGGTGGGAAAAGTGGGAATATCCTTTCAGGTTTTTGAAAAGTGATCCTTTCACTGTCTTGAAAGAAACTCACAGTAACTCAGTGCACTCCTGTGTGTGTGCCGGCCTTGTGTGGGGATAAAATGAAGTGGATCTGAGCTGCGGTCTCAGCCCTGCAGGAGCTCACAGTCTTGGTACAGAGACGGATGAGCAAATTGTCCCAACCTCACGTGGCAGCGCTATAATAGAGGTCAGCCGCGAAGTGCTGTGCTGGCTGGGAACAGGGAGCAATTAATTCTGCCCAGAGGGTGAGGGAAGACTTCAAAAAGAAGGTGACTTTGGCCTTGAAGAAGGCAGCAGAGGTTTGGGTGTGTAGGGCTGAGTGAGCTGGGAAAAGGCACTCAGAGCAGAGGAAACAGCAGGGCAAAGGCAAGGCGCTATGCGTGTGTGTGGCTTGTCTGCAGAACAGCTGGGGATGCAGTGGAGCTGGGGCTCAGGGTCTGTCAGGAGCAGAGGAGGGTGGCGAGGCTGGAAAATTCAGCAGAGCCCTGCTTGCAGAGCGCTACCCATGTGGGCTTCAGAGTCCAGGCCTTGGCCTGCAGCATTGGGTCAGACCCTTATTTGTAAGCAACAGAACCCTTTCTTTGAATAAAAGCTTTCACGTAAGCGCCATATTGCCCAAGCACGTGTGATCAAGAGATATCCGTGGTGAAGCCACCTGGGACGGGAGTTGAGCTCCACCCAGACTGGCCTTCTGGTCCCCCGATGTCTCTTCGAGTCAGGACTCTGGGTGCCTTTGTGAACTCTCGGGTTCCGAGGAGCACTGTTAGACAATATTTGCTATCTAGGAAGGAGAGATCCTACAGATTTTAAGCCGTGGTATGGTTGAGTTCCTGTTAGAAAGTTGAGTCTAGGGACCAGTGAGGAGAAAAAGCTAAAGAGAAACCTAGAATCCAGGAGACTAGGAGGCAGATTCTTCAGGTGTACAGAAAAGAAAGGTAGTGATCGGGAGGTGACCAGGAGGTGGGACAGCTGGGCTTGGACATGAAAGCTGGGTTCCCAGATGGAAGTCTACAGGTTTGGGGAGCAGTTGTATGCGGGAGGTGAAGGAGAAGGAGAAGTTGTGGGTGGTGGGAGGAGCTCAAGTCAGGGCAGTCAGGCATCTGGGGATGTGCCGGCCAAGACGGGAAAGACAGGAGGAGGCGGGGAAAGCAGATTATCGGGATGAAATTGAGTCCCCAGTGGGATGTGCACATGAGAGACATTCAAGAGAGATTTGCTCATCCTTCACCTATATTTGTGGAGTACCTGCTGTCTTCCAAAAGCTATGCCAGGTGCTTAGAATGCATCGTGAACAAGACAGAGAAAGCAAAAGAACAAATTCCCATCTCTGGTGCAACTTGTAAAGTGAAGGAGAAAATATGTAACAAAGTCCCCACAGTGTACTCAATTATATGTTAGAAGGTGATGAGTGTTTGGAAAAAAACTAAGAGGAAGATTGGAAGGCAGGTTTGGGGCATGGAATACAATTGTGATTGAGTGATCAAGGCGGGCTGTATTGAGAAGGTCACACATAAGCATACTTTTGAAGGAGGTGAGAGAATGAGCCATGTGATCATCTCTGGGGAGAGCATCACAGGGAAAAAGGACAACCCACACCAACACCTTATGGTGCACACATGCCTGGCACATTTGAGGAACAGGACAGAGGCCACTGTGACTGGGACAGAGTGAATATGGAGACAGCAGCGGCAGGTGACACAGACAACACGGCGAGGCCAAGTCATGGAAGCCCTTAGGGGTCCTAGGAAGAACTCGGGTTTTACTCTGAGAGAAGAAGGGAGCCACTAATGGGTTTTGAGGAGAGGAGTGACATACTTTGACCTTTAAAAAAACCCCTCTAGCTGTTGTGTTGTAAATAGACCAATGGTCTGGGAAGGGGAGGGAGTCTATTTGCTAAGGATGTGATGGCAGCTTGAACTACGTGGTAGCCACGGAGTGGAATCTGGATATCTCCTGAAGGGAGACCCAACAAAATATCCTGACAGGCTGAATACGGTGTGTGATGAAAAAAGGTGAACTCCAAGGGGCTCAATCAGTACATGGGGCTGGAATCCAAGATAACCATGAAATTAAATGGATTCCCATAAAACAAAGGCCTCTGGGGAGTTCCAGACTCAGAAGGCATCACCGCCCTATTCCTTTGCCTAAGAAAGTAAAATGGTGAACTCTGCTCCATGAGCCCAGGAATGAAGTAGAGCCTGTGAAATACTGTTTGTTTGCTGTTCCCCTTTTCCAGGAGCGCTTTTTGCAAAACCAGAGTTCAGGCACAGAGGAGGAGTGTCAAAGAATCTCACTTTGGGACATATAGCAAAGCAAGGGTCAAGGTCATCGGCTATAGCCCCCCCTTCCAGGGTGGGTCTTGGGTGAATGAAGATTTCTCAGCCCCAGATGTTGATACAGCCTTTGAGAATTGATTCTCTAACGTCAAAACCATCGGGCTTAGAAGGGCCATGACGTTGGCTGCCATATGCAGCTGGCAAGCATCCCCTAACAACGGCAGATGAATAGAACACTTATTGATATAAATATCATCACCACAACAGCTGGGCGCCTTGCAAAAATAAACAATGACACAGCGTGAGCAGCAGAAAAGCTGCCCTCAGCACCTGGAAGGGTGGTTCTTTGAAGTGGCATCAGCATTTGTCTGCCAGCGTGTCCATGCCAGGACAGCTACAGCTTCCTGGCCAGCCCAGCAACACAGATGGGTCTGTCATAGGTCCTGGGCATCACCAGAGGACCAATGAACGCCACATCCTCTGCTTTGACCACGGGCCAACCATAAGGCTTGTGTTGAGGCTTGTGGCAGGGCTACGTGTAAGTTGTAGGAAAATAAGGTTGAGGAGAGAAGGAGACATCTCTAGTGACTTATTTTCTTGCACTGCTGGCCCGATCTGCCTGCCTCTGCCCAGAATCCTACACTGCATCATTCAATCAGCCATCCCCAGCCACAGATATTCTTCCATTCTCCACAGTGGCTTCTGTTCAAAGATAATTACAAGCAGTGGGGGCTGAAGATAAAGACTCTGAAGGAAACTACATATTCAACCTTAGAGATTTTTTTGTTTTTTTTTTTTTTTTTTTTTTAGCTCTTTGGGACTCCCAAGGCCTGTGATCAGATTAGTGGGGCAAAATATCCTAGAACCACAACATCCAGCAAATGACAGTGTGGTTTCCAGTGGGCACATCAGAAAGAATCTTTCCGGTCACACCCAATAGCATTGATCTCTTCCATCTTTGTGGGCGCTATGGATAGACCAGAGTTCATGGGGAGCAGACACCAAAAAGAAGCCCTAATTGTGGTCATGCCACACCCACCACATTGTTTAGACTGCTCAGGAAATCCTCTGTGCCAGCCATGGGGTGGGGCTGTGCAGTAGACAGAATCATGGCCCCCTAAAGATGTCCACATCCTCATCGCTAAACCTATGAATGTTATCTTATAAAAGGGACTTTGCAGATGTGGTAAACTTAAGGATGTTGAGATATGTAAATTGTCCCTGGTTATCCAGCTGGGCCCCATATTAGGTTCCTAGTAAGAGGACTGCCAGAAGATCAGAGTCAGTGGTGATGGAAGCAGACCATAGGCTGATGGAAACAGGAAGTGGAGTGATACAGCCACAGGCCAAGGAATGCTGGCGCCTCTAAAAACTGGAGAAGATGAAGAATGGATTGACTCCTACAGACTCCAGAAAAGAACACAGCTCTGGTGACACTTTTATTTTAACCCTTTAATACTCATTTCAGATTTCTGACCTCCAGATAATAAATTTGTATTGGGTTAAGCCACCACATCTGTGGTAATTTGTTACATTAGCCATAGAAAACTACTACAGGCAATAAAACTGAACACAGGAATTCAGACCCAGAGTTGTAGGGATCAGTGCAGGGTGTGAGCCTGAAATCATGGGAACATCCAGAATCACCAGTGTTGAACTGGAAAGTGGTTTATTCTAGAGAAATCCATGCCTGCATCAGAGTCCATCAGGAACCATGAGAAAACAGAATGGGGAGAGCCAAGGAGAAGGCAGATGACTCACCTCCACAGGACGCTTGCTGACACAGAAGAGGTCTTTTAAAAGTTAAGGTGCATATTTTCTGGGTTGCATTCAATACACATGAATTGAGAAACTACCATGCACAAGGCACAGATCAGACATAGCAAAGGACAAAGAGGCAGCAAGGAAAAAAAAAAAAAAAGCCCAGTCCCCATGGAGCAGACATTGTGGTGAACTAATATCTACCCACCAGACTCCCTTTGGCATCAAACAGGATGGAATCATCTTTACCTGGAACCATCTCAACCAAGACCC